GATGGTCTTTTCAATAATCTGGATTCCATCTGTTTGCTGTATTAAAGATTGCATTGTTAGAACTGTCCACAGCACATGGGGGTTCTGTGTTAATAAATGAGACAGTCTGCCATCTTTGGGCCAAGTATGTTTTCTACTGATGCAAAAATGAGTCTACATGTGACAGGACATTACAGTGATCTGCCACATAGTTAAAAAAATGTGAGATTTTGGCAGATGTCTTGTGGAAGCTGAAACGTGATTCACACTCATTGTACCAGGCATAGTTGTAAAAAGAGACTTTAAAATATTTCAACTTAAATGTAGTATGTAGCAGCCATGGGCCTTTAAGACTGGATTATGTTAAACACCTCGCCCTTACTGCTTTTGCTTGTGAAAAATAATATGCCTCTATTAACTCATTTTTTTCCCAAGTGCTCTTGTTCTTGTGAAAAAAGAAAAGGGAAAATTGTCCTAATTACAAAGCTTTTTCTCCAATGTAGCAGTTGCTTAACTAAAAGTTAACTGCCTTAAAGTTCAGTTAGCCTACTTGTATAACAGTATAACCTGGATGGGTTGTATTGAAGTTTATTGTCACTGAATTTAGTGACAATAAAGTAGGCCACTTGTAAATATTTAATTTTTACTCCTAATATACTCCTGTGCGGGAAAATAATTCAAGGTCCTGCTGTGCTTTGCTTGGTTTCTGTTTAAATTTTTAATGGAAAAAAGGAAGGATACAGAATGACAGATGTGGAATCTTAGGAGGTACTTCCTCTGGTGGCTGGTAGATAAACTAAATGGTAAAACAAATGTTTCCTGTGCTTGTAGAAATAAGATGTCATTTCAAATTACATATATCTAAGTAATATTAATATACGTGATCTTCTTCACAGATTAACTTCACTTTCCCATTTCCTTTACTAGCTTTTGCATTTGACAAGCACTTCTGCTACCCCATAGACAACCAAAAGCAGAGAGAATGGAATCAACAGGAGGCAGATGAGGAAAAGAAATGTGAAAATTTTAAGCAGGAACAAGAAGGGGAATGGTAGGGAGCATCAAGAGAAGAACAAGTAGGTGAAAGATGATTTGGATGAGAAATACAGTATCAATATTGGAAGGAGAAGAAAATGGGAAAAAGGAAGTGAGAATAATAGTGGTTGTCTTTACAGACTCTAATGATGTGGTGAGTTGGTTGATGTTTTGTGGGCTGGTTGGTTGGGGGGTTTAGAGTGATGCTAAATGCAACTGTTTACTTAAGATATTAGTAGTAGAATAGATTCTGCTTTTACAGTTTTGTGACAAATTTGGTTTGGGGGTTAAGAAGTATATATGTTCTTTGCCTTACTGCAAGACAGTAAGTCCATGTCCCTTTCATTAATAAATTATGCAGAAATGCTGTTTTGAAAACTAGAGGCTCATGTAATTAACCCTTTCAGTGGAAAAGGAAGGGACTCTGTGCATGGCTGCTTGGTTGGAAGTGGTTATAATCCTCTAGAGTTGTGGGGATAGACATGTATTGTGCAGCATTCATGGGTGTCAGATAGTGATTTTTTACACTGATCCTCTGTAGATTCCCAAACGTAGCCATACGCAATCTATAATCATTCATCTAAGCAGTATTTATTGCCTTGGCACCTCTTTCAAGTGTGGTGTTCAGGCAAGCTGATCCCCTGTACCTGCTGCGTAGTGAGTATTTATGCAGGACTTCTGTGATGGCTCTTCTGTCACTTCTCCCATAGCTTATAGGATCACAGACTCATAGAATAAGCTGAGTTAGAAGGGACCCATCAGGATCATAGAGTCCAACTCCTGGCCCTGCACAGGACACCCCAAGAATCCCGCCATGTGCCTAAGAGTGTTCTCCAAAAGCTTCTTGAGCTCTGTCAGGGTTGGTGCTGTGACCACTTCCCTGGGGAGCCTGTTCCAGTGCCCAGCCACCCTCTGGATGAAGAATTGAAGAACCTCTTCCTAAATTCTACCCTAACCCTCCCGTGACACAGTTTCATTTCTCAAGTCCTGTCAGTGGTCACCAGAGACAAGTGGTTGATACCTCTGCCCCTTTGCTTCCCTTCATGAGGATGTTGAAGACTGCAGTGAGGTCTCCCCTCTTCCTCCCCAGGCTGAACAAGCCAAGTGAGCTCAACCCCTCCTCAGAGGGCCTCCACTCCAAAACCCTTACCAGGTTTCTGTGTCCCTCCATACACATGAGGGGTCCTGTCTCTTCTTGCTGTAGTGCACACATAAAATTTGAGTCTAGAAACGGATGCGGGGTGTGGACTGCATCAAGCTGTCCCTGTACTGCAGGTAGTGAAATGATCTCAGGTTAAATGATCCTTTAGCCAAAAGAAAAAGGGGGAGAGAATTTTGGATCCATCATGAGTTTAAGGTGTTAGCACAGGAACATAGAGAAAGCAGAAAGCAAACACTAGTAACACTTAAATCTTCAATACAGCTGGTGAAATTTCATGGTCTTGGACTGCCAAAATGTCTAATTTTCAGAACATACTGTTGGAGGAGATAAAACAAGTTACGCTGCTCCTGCATTGTCAGAGGTTGGAATAAGGCTGTCAGAGTCAATGCTTTGGCACTTAATTACAGTTTTGGTTTCTGATAACTGGAAGAAAATTTCTTGTAGTTCTGTATGTGCTCCATATATAGAAGGTGATGTCTTTAAGTGGCTCAGAAGCTGTATGCAAGAGGCAAGAGATTCAGTGGTGTTTTGTACCAGACTTGAGTTGCATGGTTTTTCTCAGCCACCTACACTGATGTGGCTGAGCCGTAAATTGAGCTCATTATCCAAAATAGAATTTATATTCAAGAGGATGTTACTGTGGTATAACTTGTAGATGGAGCATGTTGTATGGCTGATCTCCCCTTTCAACTCTGCATAAGAAGTAACAGTGGCTCCTATTACATATACCTGAGTCAGAGAAGCTTTTTATGGGAGTTTCTGAGAATTATTTTCTGCTTTCCAGAGTTTTAAGTTTCTGACATGCAGAACAGTATTGCTGAGGGGTATTGCTGTCTGTGTGGTTGATCTATATTCAATTTAAATTAAATCTCCTGTACTGAATTATTTGACAGCTTTTCTGTGGCTGGTTTAAATTATGTCTATTTTTCAGCTTCTGTATTAGAAACAATAATAAGACACTATGACTGGATACAAATGCTCAGTTTCATGGTGATATTCTGAATAAAATTTCTGTATGCAGTCAGACTGATTGTCCCTGTCTCCCTCTAGACCATAGGATAACTCTGAAATTCTTGGTCTGTTTATCTTGCAGACCTATATAACTTGTTAAATTAGGCTGTGAAGTTTACAGTTCTATAAAAACGAGCTGACATAATAAAGGACAGCAAGACTTACAGTTTCAGCAGGTAACTCAGCTGCTCTCGGTGTGTTGGACAACTTTTGGCATGAACAAGGAGACACTTTTCATCCTGCCTCCACTGACGCGAGGTTGTGGGGGATACAGATGCTGAAGGCCCCAAGGAGCCTGCACTGTGCAGAGTCTGCTCACCTTCCTCCTCCTCCCTTTACTGCTGCGGACACGGACACGCAGCCCCACGTACAAATGGTGTTGCAGCCCTCTCCCGCAAGCGCTCCTCTTCAAGCTTCCTTCCAGCGGGAAACAAACATTCAAATAATGTGCCTAAAACGTTCGAGGCCTTTTTGCGATGTAGCCTGCTTTAACATGGCTTGGCAGCAAAAGCGAGGCGAATTACGGGTCACGTCTTACACTTCGTACCCCGGGCGCTGCCTGAAGGCTTTTCCCGTTCCCGGGCGCGGCGGGGCGGGAGGGGGCGGTGCCGCCGCTCCTGGTGGAAGCCTCGCGGGCTCTGGCAGCCGCGGCCCGCTCCTTCCCTCGCACTCCCCACTCCCACATTCCGCCCTGCTGCTGGCGCTGCCTCCCGCCGCCTGCTCGGGCAGAGCCGGGACACGCCTCCCCCGGCCGCGGCGAGCCGCAGAAGGGACCGCGCAGGGAGCCGCGAGCCGCCGGCACGGCTAGCTGCCGGGAGAGGGATCGGGACTGGAACTCGTGTGAGAGGTAGCAGAGCGTGGGGCTGAAGGGGAGAGGGCTCGCAGGAAGGCTCCGTCGCTCGCGTTGTGCGGTGGCTCCCGGCTGCGCGCTCCTCGGGGCGCTCCTGCCCACGTGCGCCGGCGGGCCCGGCTGCGGTTCGCGCGCTCCGCCTTGCCTCGGGCTTAACCCGCGGGGCACTGCTCCGGCCAGATACAAAGCTTAAAGCAAAGGTAATTTTACAGTTCTTATCTTGCTTATGTCATACGATTTTCCTTTTCTGAGGCGATATCTGAAAGCATACATCAGAGATGCGGACTGGTTACTTTTCTGTGTCGATGCCCCGAGGCAGCTGTGGATATGCGGGTGAGCCGCTCCAAGCCTGGGCAGCGAGCAGATCCTGCACTGATTGTGCTCCCCCTTGTAGAAACCTTTGCTTCCAATTGCTATAAGCAAAAGATTGAAGATCTACCAGTTAGAAGGCACTGGAGCACCTTCTTATCTATTTAACCTTCCACGGGCAGAATTGAACTGCCTAGGCTCCATGGAAGAAGTCGGTGTAGTAGAAAGTCGATTAGTCTCTGTTAAACCTGAGTAAGAGAGAGTTGCTTGTGCAGAGCCTATTTAGACTGAGCATTGAGTGCTATTACATTTTAACTGCCAGTTACTTGTAAGGGAGGCTTATAAGGGGTTTTCTATGCCAACTGTCAAATACAATCCGGAAGCAAATTACAGCTGGGAGTGGATGGTTATTCCACAGCTTCTGTTTGGGTGTCAGCCTTGTAACAGAGGAACACCTTCCTGGTACAGCCAGAGAACAAGCTCTTGGACTGCAGATCAAGGAATATGCACAAACTACTGTGCTGTCTCCATTAATAGTTGTAATAAGTTACTGCAGGGACTCTTCCCCATTACAACAGAAAGAAGCAAAGATCTGAATGTGGAAGATGTTCAAAAGAAAAGAAGATTCAGACCTTGAGGTCATCTTGCACAGTTTTTTGCTCAGAGCAGGGCTAACTTCAATTATAGACCGGGTTGTTCAGAGCTTCTGCCAGATCTGGTCTTCCTGTGGTCTGTGTTTAGACAAGGAAGTAAATTTCAAATTTATTTAAAACCTTTATTTATTAAAAGATAATTCAGGGCTTCCAAAGAACCATTGGATAAAATTTTAGTAGAAGGATTGCTGTATTGAAGATTTAAGTGTTACTAGTGTTTGCTTTCTGCTTTCAGTCAGAGAGAAGCTGTTTCAGCTGTTGGTTCCAGCAACATGGAGAATAATATCAGCTTGAAGTTCCATCAGCAGCTTTTCCTTATTAGTGAAAGTCTGGTGACTGAAGATGTAGCAGCTTTAAAATTTCTCTGTACTGACTTGCTCCACCTCAGTAGACTAGAAGGTGTGAAGTTAGCAACAGACATCTTCAAGCTCCTTATGGCTCAAGAATATCTGAATGCAGAAGATACTTTCCTACTAGCTGAACTCTTATATAGAATTAGATGTCACTCCTTGCTCAAGAAAATTGGTTACACCAAGGAGAAAGTACAAGAACATCTGAGTGAGAAGGGAAGAATATCTCCATACAGGTAAGCTTGCAGTGGAATTCTCTTCCCTCCATTACTGCTATCTATGCCATACTGTTTTCTTTTCCATTTTTAAATTCTTAGATTGCCTTTGGTTTTTATGCCATCTTCTGTTCCACTTTTATCTCACTCTGTCTCTGTTACAGGCAGATGCTGTATGAATTGGCAGAGAACATCACCAGTGACATGTTGAAGGAAATAATTTTCCTCCTGCAAAACCATCTTCCAAAGGGATGGATAATTCCTGTATGTGAGGAGTCAAATGAGCCAAATGGTGGGAAGGGAAGAAGGAAGGCAGGAAATAGAAGAAAAAGTGTGAGGAGTGTTTGGCAGAATAGAGCATAATATGCAACTAGGCTGGTTGTATTCATAGGGATAGCAGGAAGGAAGATGTTGACAGGCAAGAGTAGAATTTGGTCCCTCGTGCTAAGGTCAGTCACTGACAGTTCACTGTCTAGTATCAGAGTATAAAAAGGTGACAAATCAAATCTTTGCCCTGCTTGAGCCATATGCAAGGGAGATTGATGTCCATATGTCATTGGTAGTTTCACAGCATTGAAGCCTTCTTGAAGCCACGAGCCATTAATATGGTTTGGGTGAATCTGTTTAAACAAGACCATACCAAATAAAAACACAACCAGTGGCTTCCATGAAGCAACATTTCTGCTGTAATGGTGATGTAAAATTGACTGGTCCTTGTTGGTAGGGAGCAAAGCAGATAATAATGTGATTTGAGACAGGGCTGAGAGGCAAGCTTTGATTTCTAAAGAACAATAATTATATTTTACTCTCTCCTTTTGGCTGTCAGTCTGCTTTGGATTTGCTGACTTTATTGGAAAAGCAGGGCCTTTTAACTACAGACAATGTAAAGATACTGGAGGAGGTCTGTATGACCGTTTCACCTGATCTCCTGGAGACAATAAACTGCTACAAAAAGGGAAAAGGTGAGAAATTCATTGTCTAGGAGCAGGTTTGCTAAAATGCAGGAAGTACTATGGGTCTGGGCTACTGAACTTAAGGTCATATGTGTGTATTGCTAAATGGGAGCTAGAGTGGCATAAATCTGGCGTAACAATTCCAAGCCTGCATAATTTCCTAGCTGAATCCCTGAAATAAAGGGATGTGCTGGAATATCTGAGGCCACACAGAGCAACCCAGCACATACAGAACAGGGTGGGAAACTGAAAATCTGCTGATAGTTATGTCTCATTTGTCCATTTCCCCACTAATAGTATTGAGATGATGACAACTGTCCTGTAAAAGGCACTTGGGGATCTGTGAATGTGAATCTGGCAAGACACACTGTGTGGGTTTATGTGTGTCTGATACATGGGCTATGAGCAAACAAATTATTTATGGTTTTATATTTTTAAAAAATAGATTTATTATTGATTAATGAGAAAAATTGACAACTTCAGTAGTAAGAAGGCATATTCTTTTTAAATACTGGTAATTTCTAAGATGATTTCCAGATGAAAAATTTATTTGAATGTCTTGGAGAATTTATCCTTGTACCATGGGTATCTTTAATTTGCAGTATCGATACAAATAGAAGCCTTGCCTTTGTTACAAAAATACATCTAATAAAAATAAGCAAAAAATAGATCTAGAATATCAGAATAGATCTATTGAACATGACCATGCTATTTTGTATGGAATAATTATTTCTTTCAGTGAAAGAGTATTTCAAATACAAAAAGTGATGTATTGTAGCTAAACTCCTTTTTGTTGCATCCACAAATATTGGATTTATCTTCATAAATACCTATGCTGGGGTTTTTTCTAGATAACAAGAAAACTAATTTTACACAAAGCTTCTCTGAGCTAAACCTGGAGCTGCGTGGAGAATTCAGCAATGTAGAAAATGAACCCAAGGTTTGAGACAATCTCTTAAATCCTTTTTGAATACCTGCTGGTGTGAGGTTTTCATCCTCCCTTGAATGACATTTATCATGCAAGGGCTTGTGAAATATCAGGCTCATAAAGTTTCTTGAGTTGACTGATAAATTTGAATGTTTCAAAGAATATTTTAACCTTGGAGGCCAGAGATTTAGCAATATTGAAAGGTATCTTGTAGGCAAAATGGACATAATACCTCTGAAGTGATTCACACATCAGTGTTTATCTTCCTGATAAAGGCAAAACATTTTGCATTTTGGTGATGGCAGTAGAACGTGCAAGACACAGAGACAAATGGAGTTTCACAGTTCTCACTTTTTGCATCTGGTTTCAAAACGGCCTCAGGGCATCTTGAAATTAGAAGTCATAAGGGGTAGCATGCAAAGCCTTTGTTAGAAGGATTAAAAGGAGGCCAGAGTTTTTAGTAAGCTATTGCAGAGGTCTTGGTATATGAGAAAAGATCCTTTTTGTGAGATCCCCTCTTACAGGCCTTTATGTGCACTCTTTAACCATAGCAGTGTAACCATTGAATTCTTCCTCTGGCCTTTTCTTTGTGATGACCATGGATATTGAAAAAGCAAGTTGCTCCATTTGTTTATAGCCATTTAATTTCTTGAAGTTCTGTGCTGTAACATCTTTTCATCACCTGATGTTCAGACTGCTGCAAAGCTGTTGAAGGAACTTGGAGTGCTTCCTTCATTTTCTCCAACTAAAATGCACA